AATTAGGAAAGAAAAGAGCGAAATCAAAACAGATCCTGCAGAAATCCAGAAGATCATCTATACCTACTTTGAAAACTTGTATTCTAGTAAGATGTAAAATTCAGAAGAAACGGACAGATTCCTAGATACATATGAATTACCAAAGCTGACTCAAGAAGATATAAAAGTCCTAAATAAACCAGTATCAATCAATGAAATCAAAAGATGTAATTAAAAATCTACCAACGAAGAAAAGCCCAGGCTCTGACAGACTCACTGTTAAATTCTATAAAAAATTTAGAGAAGACCTAATACTGCAAATTTTCAAACATTAATTAAATTTAAAGGGACGCAATATTCCTAAATTCATTCCTAGAAGCAAGCATTACTCAGATATCAAAACCAGAAAGGACCCAACCAAGAAAGAGAACTATAGGCCAATCTCCCTTAATAAACATAGATGCAAAAATCCTCAGTAAGATACTGGCAAACAGAACGCAGCAAATCATCAGGATTACACACCATGATCAAGTGGGATTCACCCCAGAGATGCAGAGATGGTTCTATACACACGAATCAATAAATGTAATGTAGTACATTAATAGAGCAAAGGACAAGAACCTATGATCATCTCAATACATGCAGAAAAAGCTTTTGACAAAGTCCAGCACCAATTCATGATTTAAAAAAAAACCTACAGAAAACTGGAATAGATGGTCATTATCTCAATCTGATAAAAGTTATCGCTAACACCCTAGAATGGCCATTAAATGGACATTGTAAATTAAATGGACAAAAACTGAAGGCTTTCACTTTAAAATTCAGGAACAAGACAAGGAAGTCCACTGTCACCACTCTTATTCAACGTAGTTCTGAAAACATTAACCAGAGCAATTGGTTGGCTGGGCCGGTGTGCACGAGCCTCCCTGGGGTGCACGGCTGCCCCAGACATGTTGGCTCCAGCCACGCCACAGGGCCGCCCAGCTCCCACTCGCGCTCCCACCGCATTGCTGCTGCCCGTGATGCCAAACCTCAGGCACCTCACAGAGGAGGAGAGCAAGATCATCTTGACCTTCATGGACCGGCAGAGGAAGGAAGAGGAGAAGGAGCAGTCTGTGCTCAAAATTCAGCTGTGAATCCATCAGGACCTGGGCTTTTCTTTATTGCATGGGTACAAAACATAAGCAGACAAATGGAATTACTTGAAACCAAAAATCTTCCAACAGCAAGGGAAACATTCAGTGGAGTAGGGAGACAACTTGCAGACTGGGAGAAAACATTTGCAACATACGTGGAAGGGTTAATATATAAATTTATACGTAAATCAACTGCAAGAAAACTCATAGCAAGAAAACAAGAGTTAAAAAATTAATAAAGGAAAAAACCGTAACAACAGGTAAAGAATATGAATAGACATTTCATAAAAGATGGCATACAAATGGCCAATAAATATGTTAAAAATGCTCTGCATCACTAATAATTAGGCAAATGGATATTAAATCCATGTAGAGCTATCACTTCATACCTGTTTATCTGTCATTAAAACAATGAGAGATAAATTTTGTAGAGGATGTGGAGAAAAGAACATCCTAACATTGTTAGGAGCATAAATTAGTATAGCCATTATGAAAAACAGTATGGAGGTTCCTCACA